CACAACCGAACTTCCAAAAAAAAAAAATGTACATCGAAACCATTTATGATCTTTTTTAATACAACAGTATAGCGATCTAATTTGTAGCAATAATAAAATTGAATAAATCTTCTTTTTGTTGATGTTAAACATATATCTGTGTTGAAAAGAAAAACTAGTATTTAATTATTTCGGATTTAAAAGAAAGAATCTTAATCTAGATTTTTATTTTCAATTCTTTTGCGATACAATAAGTTGCAGGATTTCTACTGATATGATTGTTTACTTGTCCGTAAATGAAAAGTTTCGTAACTATTTTAGAACAAATCTTGATCAGCTTCTTTTCAAAGTCTTTGGATGTAAACAAAATAACATCGATAAGTTGTAAATTATGATTTATAAGTTACTCAAATCACAATAAAATCAAGGTCAAAATGCAATTATATGAAATTTCAAATTTTGATATTCGAATGAGAAAAACAAACAAGTCTATAAAAAATTAATCGAATGTTATTTTATCTATCACTATTCGTAATAGAGCGAACAGTTGTTTCAAATCAATCTTTAAGTCAAGTGATAGTTATCATTTGATATTGATGAAGAATATATGAATTAAAATAAAGTTGTTTCGATTTCGAATATATATGACAATTTTGTGAACTTTTATTTATCTATTGACCATTGAACACTCAAATATATCGTTTTCATGTGCTCGATATGTTGATGAAGTTAGAATTCTTTACAAAGTTTTGTTTTAGAACAGATTCTTTTTATAATGAATGGGTGTATAAACTCTTGATCCTTTGAGCGCACACTAAATTAAAATTGATCAAGGGATCAGTTAATCAATGGAAGAATTCCCATTCTTATGACAAAAAAATTCAAGCATTTCAAGATTTTCTTCCTGCTATGAACAACATCTCTGGTGGAATTATCGTCCAAAAGATTAGACTTCAAATATATGTCGTTTCACCCTTTCGAGATGAGTCACGTATATATGTGTCCTAGAGGTTTTTTTCGAAATAGGAAAGTATAGAAGCGTCGAAGATTGATAATAGTTACGAATACGATATAGCATGAATTATTGTGGTGATATATTATCGTCTTGATGTTACCTGCTTGTTTGTGTTTGAATTTCTTCTATTTCTGGTCTGAATTAGCGCATTACTATTCCTTTCTATTTCTTTTTTTTTGTCTAGCGCTTCTCTTTCTATAGAACATTCACATACCATACATGGCAAGAATATCTAGGTCATAGGATTTTCTCACTTGTATTGCTCCGTAGTTTCTGCACTTCCATTCCTCGTACTATCACACTGATTCATTGTCTGTCTATGTTGGATGTCATAGTCAGTCAATGACAGAATACACTCAATGAAAGCATAATATATACTACAAAATATAACTATACCAACATTGATCTCATTTTATTTGCACGGTGCCTGTTGTGTTCACACTACTTCTGTTTACACACCGTGGCCACATGAAGAAACAAACATGGCGTCGAAGATAGTGACTTTTTTATAGAGTTCAAATCGACATGTGATACGGACTTTTATGATTCTGATGAAGAATTTTTCGAAGATTTCGACGATTCTGAAGATGATGATCATCTATGAAGAGATTATAATTTCACACCTAGATCATTTGAATATATATCAAGGAAAGGTGTTCATCAGGAGGAAATACTTAACCTGGAAATTAAACTTTCACTGGATTTTTTCGAACTGTATTAGAGCGAAGAGTGAATGAGATAAAAAGTACCAGTCAGTGTCAAACACAAATGTCTCGAGGTCTTCGGCTTCTCATCAAGCAGCGTGGAAAAATACAAATGTTTTTGAAATGTATTCGTTTCTGGTCACCATAATACTTAAGGCTCATACATAGAAGAATCGAACACAGGAACGCTGCTCTACAGATCATCTATGTTCAAACATGTTGAACAAATTACTCACAATAAAGATAATAGTTTCTGTCCAATCTAGCGGATGATTCATAAAGAATGAGACACTTTGATTTTCTTCTTTTTGAAGACAGCAATACACTTTAAAGATATTATTCGAAACTTATTTGATAGAGAATTTTCCACTCTACAAACCTGTTGACTTTGCTCTTCAAATAAGTATTCCCTTTCGCAGAAAAATCAAAAAGATTGGTAGACACTCACCCATTGAATTGCGACTATCAGAAAACAGAGCAATTATTAAGAATATATTTAAATAACAGTTTTGCCTGTATTCAAAATATACTACAAGATACTCTGTGAAATGCTATATCTCACAATGTTTCACAACTTTTCAAATAAAAACTAGAAAAATTACAGAAAAGACTTTCTGACATCTGTACACCGTTGTTTATTTTGAACATGAAAAAATCTAAAGATTTTATTTGTTCGATTTAAATGCTACATTATTTTGTTCAGAATTCAATTCTGCATCTGGTGGTGTAATCATAAACCATTTATAGAGCACGCTTATTTTCCAAAACATGAATTTCGAAAGCGTATTCCAAACAAAATATCACTAGGTGTTAGTTGCAAGTCGTTTGCACTTGAACAACATCACTAGAAGCCTCGAGAAGATCCTAGAAGTATAGAGCATTAAGTTCTCTATCTATCAGTGCTAAATACTTTACATTAAGCATTGAAACTAATACACATAATCTTGTTTTCGTAGACAAAAAAAAAACTTATTTAAGAGACAAAGTCCACATTTTTGTAGAGCAAATAATCTTCTACCAAATGAAGTGAGAATGATGCCTTTGAACAATGTTTCTGTTCTTCATAAACGAAAAATCAAACTGTTCCATTATTTCATGGTCCAACTGTTAGTATGGACGCGACGTGAGAGAAGTTTTATTGGAGTGTTTCACATAATTGCATATTGTACTTAATTTGAAATCAATGGAGCGATCTTAGTACTTTAGTGTACGCTCGTCGAATATCGCACTATAAAAATAATGAATATTTTAAAGAAAAATTCATTAATTTCATAGAGACAAATCGTTTATTTTCGTTCAAAATAGTTGTCAATCAAGTTACATAAGTTTGCAAAACGTAGAAGAAGATAAAGATGATGGTTTAGGTTCAGAAATGGTATGTGTTAATGGAACATAACGTTTAATCTCATGAATAAAGGTAAGATAATCATTAATTGGTAACGTTTTGTGATGTATATTGGCAAATTTACTTAGGGTATACCAAAAGTTCTGATCACAGTTTTTAAAATTTAATAAAGCAATAAATATTGAATATTTTACTAAGGCAATATATAGTNCATGATCTTTTGTTGACCATACGTACTATAGCTTTTATCTAGCAAGATGTTAGAACTAAATCCAAGATAGAGCTGCTATATAGACTATTAAAGACGAGACGTTATACTATATATTGCCTTAGTAAAATATTCAATATTTATTGCTTTATTAAATTTTAAAAACTGTGATCAGAACTTTTGGTATACCCTAAGTACCTTTCAATGATTGATACATAGATTCACGATTGATCATACAAATTTCATAGAGCTGTAAAAGTCAATGACCATCCAGTTGTGAACATAGAAGAAGCATAGTATTATCAAGTCTGTTTGTTAGAAAAAATGATTGAGTATGATTATTAGTCCATTGAGTAATGCAATGAGGTAATTCGCTGAATAAAGAAATAACATAGGATGAGAAAATACGAACAGAGATTTGTAACTATTACTGATAGTTTTATTCTTTGGTACAATTCATTTTTGAAATCAAAAGGTTTAGATTACTCTTCTATTTCAATGTAGACGTAGAAGAAATGAACAATCGTTTTTTTCTAGTCTCATTTAGATTCAGTTAGAGATTAAGAACCAGCTCGACACAATTGATATCTAATTGACAACTACCTGTATGATCTTAAAATCGATTAAAAAATACTATCTTCGAAATGATTGCGTTCATTTTGAAAAACTTCATTTTCATAGTAATTGTTATCAGAAACAACTTTTAATTTTATGAATTTGTGAGTTATAAGTTGAAAAACAAAACTCACATGATCGAAGTTTGTGCAGTGAGCTTAGAAATCGTAGAAGATGTATCTCGATTATTGTTTTCTCTAGATTTTATTATCGAATAATTCATATTCAGTTGACAATGTTGATTAATTTCTTTTTTCAATTTCTCATAAGCCAATGTAAATTCGAGCTTGACAAAATCTACATAGACTTTGCCACTTACCATTATACAAAGCCATTAATCAGGTTTATAAGTTGGTTTCATAATAAGCGGTATCAAATGACAACGTCGTTCAAATGCATAATGTGCTTCCGATTGACAATAAACACTTTGTTTATATGTATCCGACATACATATGAGAACAAATTCAGAATTTTCGATAGCCTCTGCCATAGCAGTCATTGTAGCTCCATGCATATTATCACGATCAATCCAAACACTGAATTCATCTTGAACAAGTCGTTCATGAATTTGATAACATAATTGTCGATCACGATGTGAATAACTTATCATAATATCATATTTATATGATTTTGAATTTGTTAGTTTAGCAACAGCTTCAGTTTCTTTTGGGTGTGGGTGGGTGTGGGTGTGGTTGTGGGTGTGGGGNTATGAGAATATAGTTGAGTAAATAAACTATGCTATTGGTGAAACAAAACTACACCTGATCAATATCCGTATTCAACACGAATCATGTTTCTTATCGAGGACTGATGTTTTTCTTCTCAATAAACCATAAAATGTTAGGAGACCAACTTTGTGCATGCATACTCGATGTAAATTAATCAGTATGCAAAAAAGTAAAAAAAGTCTTCGATGAAGACGATTGGCACATAACTAGTTTAACAAGCAAGCAAGAGAATATAGAATTTCTCGAAGATGATTGTCTGATGGGAGTACCAATCTTTTTCTTTATTGAATTTTGTTCTAACTGTGTAACATGATCAAAATAAGTGTGGTAATTTCTATCTGACCATTTTCATCGTTACCATTCGCAGACAATATTTTCCTTTAGTAATCATCGATATTAGTAAGACTGAGTGATCGTCAGGATTCCTACATGGGGATGTAGCTCATATGGTAGAGCGCTCGCTTAGCATGCGAGAGGTATTGGGATCGATGCCCAACTTCTCCAGTCGTTGTTTTTTTTTCTGGCTGAGTATGAATCATGAAAATTACATAATCTCTACCTGTATTTCAATCTCTTCTGTTTGATATCGTTTCTCTTTGACTTTGTTCTAATACTTTTTGAAAATAATCATCGTTTGCACTCAATGCATACTATGAGTACAAAGAATGAACATCAATATTTCAAATAAATGATCTTATTCGATTGACTATTTCGGAATCATTATCATACAATATGTACAGTATATTTAATAAGAAATAACGTAGGAGATTAGGTTGGTTCAAGATTAAATAGCATCGATTCAGATCTCTTATTGATTATCGTCATTTATTAGTCTACTGCTGAATTGATTTGCTTCTCTTTTCTTTTGTTTTTCTCGTTTACACTCTCTCATGCACATTGTATAATCAGGTCAATCGAAACTCATAACAACAAAATCACTACAATCAACACCGTCTATCCAACTACGAAAATGTGTGTTTTTAGTCTCTAGCAGAACTCCTGAGGCATCTTAGTTTATTTTGAATTGAAGAATTTCAAATTGGAAGTCGGTATTAACTCTCCTCAAATATCTTAAGAGTAGCACTATCAGTCAGATAATGTTTGGTAATCCTAGAGGACATAAGAATTCATTTTGAATAAAAATAGTAGAGAATACCTTGAAGCATAGAAATATGAAAATTTATGTCCAGCTTCCATTTAAAAAATTGAAAATAGAAATTTTTAAGTCTTTTATTTCATTATTTCTAACTTGCAAACCTCACTTCAATTCGAATCGAACTTAAATTCTTTATTCTCATGATCTTAAGTTTCGCTACAAATTTTGTTCTCATACTTTCCACTGGAATGCTTCTGTGCTCAGAGAAGTTATATAAAAGGATTGTCAAAAGAATTCGTTTGTTCTGCTTGGTTTTCGGCTGAAAACCATTTTTTAAAATTCTATAACTTCATTAAAAAGTTTATAACTCTTGTTAAAATGAATTCGTTGCTCATTTTTGTATCTTCGTTAATTATTTCTGTCATTTGTCAGAGTAACTTTTATTTTCAGACTGTCCCAAGATTAACATTGTTAATAACCGATGAGAGTAATGACAAACGATCAACTAAACAATCGATGGAAGTGTGCAGAAGATATTTGTTTCCATGTTTTGCTCGGCAAGGTTATTACAACGATCCAAAGTGGGAAAATATTCGATGCCTTTACTTACATGGTGTAAGTGAAGAGACGAATTGCATCCACATCCACATCAATAGACTCGCTCTCTCATATTCCACACGTCCATAAAAAGAAACAAGATACAATCTTGCAAAACCGGGACAAATTTTGACTGGTTCTCCAGCTTTATAATCAGCTCTTTCATAAACGCTGCAAAAGTAACTACTATCGTTAGATCAAATTTCGTCAAGCTTAAAGTATCATTACCTTCAGCAAAATAGAGAGCCCACCGTCGATTTTCGTTTTCTTCGCTACTATGCTAAGAACTGAAATTACTGTTTTTTTTCTTCTTCATATGAGAACAACCATTTCCAAAGTATTAGTAAAGCTTAGTTCTGATTGGTAGCAATCGAGTGGTATTCATTACGTGGCACGAAAATGCATAAGCAAACTTAAAAAATCAATATCAGAAATCTACGAAAAGCAAAGTTATAACGCTTCTATTGACAGAGTTTATTGATTTCAAGTGGTTACCATGTTAGCGGCATTTTATGTCACGTATTTTGTATTTGCTTCTTTTTCCTTCAATGTCGCTCAACAGCAACAACAGCCGTTACAATATGTCGATGGTTATAGATCATCTTGCAAGTTTCATCAAGCAGGTACCTTCAATCTCATTATTTCGGCACCTCATGGTGGTAGCCTAATGCCGACCGACGTGCCTGATCGAACACAAGGAGGTTGTCGTCGTTCAGGATCATATTGCACATGGAGATACGACGACAAGTGTTTTGATGGTCAACGTTGTACAGCAACGACAGTTCAAGATTATCTTAGCGGTGAATTCGCGGAAAACGTCGCCGAAGAATTGAACAGCAAGCATGGTCTAAAACCATTCGTTGTCATTGGCAAATGGAGTCGAAAAAAGGTTGACTTCAATCGAGAAATCAACGAGGCAACACTCAATCATCCTGAGGCTATCAGTGCTTATCAAAGTTATCATACAAATCTTCAATATGCCATAGATCAAGTAAAACAACAATATGGCAATGGTCTTCTTATTGATATTCATGGTCAGGGAGTAGGAAAGTGAGTTACACAAGAAATCCGCCAAAAAACAATGAATAAACTCGTTTCTTTAGCTTTACAATGGTTGGATATCTTCTAGACAGCGATTTACTCAACAGAGACGATCTTCAATCAACACTCGGTACGATTACATCAATCGAACAAATCTGTTCATTGTCTAATCGAACTGAATGTATTCGAGGACAAACATCTTTCGGTACAATTCTTGAAACAAACGAACTCGGTATTGCCTATCCATCAATGGCACATCCGAAGCCAGGAAATGGTACTTTCTTTGAAGGTGGTTATATAACACGCAATTATATTCTGAAGATAAATGCTATTCAAACTGAATTACCATATGATATACGTGCTGGGCCTTATAAACGCGTGAATGCTATGAAATATGCACGTGCTCTTATTGATTATATGACAGTGAACACTATATTGTTGAAAAACTCAAAATCGACAATGTAGGAAGGAATCTTTGTTTCTTCCTCATATATTCATTTTTGAACTGAATCAAATAAATAATTGGTAAATGCTCAAACCATGAGCATGAAGAGAAATACGAATAGAAAAGGCAAGAGCAGATGAAGTTCAGGAAGCGAAATTGATCGCTATACTATTTACAAACAGTGGATAGTTCAAAATCATTTCATAAAGTCTTTATTTCAAAAACATCTAAAACATTACATCATCAAAGCAGATTGTTAATCTAATTTTTTTTCCTTCAGTAAGATCATGGCTATTTTGAGTGTTTCAAACAGATTCCATGAAAATCTCAGTTATTTCATCATTGATCTAATGTGACTCTATTTAAAGCTGCATAACAAACCTAAGTTTAAATTTATGTGTTTTGTGACTACTTAGGAATTACTTTCTTCTCTGTATGCATTACAGAAGATCAGCTGGCTTGATAATCACTGAAGTATATCAAACACAATCTCAAAGATAAATGTCAGTAGAAAAAAACAATATCGAATATGTTTACCAACTAAATGATTCGATAGTGTTTTTACTCTATCTATATCACTGAGCTGAGAAAAATGTGACCACAAACTATATGTATCGCAATTTTTGTCAAAAATTATGTTGTCAAGCAAAATATAACAATCATCTACACGTAATAGACCAAGTACTACATTACTTACAAAAAGAAGTAAGTTTTTGTAGCANAAACAGAACCTATTTCCGTCTGATTATCTTGGCAATAGGTGAATTAGTGTAACAACCCAACAAACGTGTAGTGTGTTATGTATCCTCAATGAAAATCATCAGAATGTTCTTCTCTATCTATTATTCATCTCTCTATCTCGTTCTTCTGTTATATGTACTTTGGAAGGACAATATTAGTTTGTCCTCTTTCCATACATATTGTTATTCTTTTCTGTTTGTACTTTGAAATATCATTAGTGTTGTGTCCCTCTCTTACAAAGCGTGTTACCCTTTTTCTGTTCTTTATGTTTATCTCATTCTATACGTACTTTGGAATAACACTAGTGTTGTCCAGAGTATCTTTCTCTTCTGTTTGTATTTAGAAACAACATGATCATTGTACCCTGCTCTCGACCAAAACGTTACCACAGCTTAAACTTTGTCCTTCCCGGAATTTGTCCTTACACACCATAATTTTCTTGTTATTGTGTTTACTGTATTCCAAAGGTCGTTATATGCTAAGAAATAGTATATAAGGAACGAGAAGAATACAGTATGGGACGGTTCTTGATATCTTAATAAAGTGTTCGTTGAATAACTCTTATACACGTCTACTACATCAGAAATCGTCACAATTAGCCTTCGTGTTTCTTTATGTTTTATATACCATTTTGTAGCTCGTGAAATTCTCTATTGAATGTTATATAATAGTTGGAGTTTTATTTGAATATGATAGTAAAAGTTTTTTACGAAAGTGAGAATAGGTCGATTTTCCTATAGGAAGCCATAGGGAAAAATGACTATTTTTGCAATAACTCAGGAATAGCTCGGCCAATCATGCTCATCTTCGAACTCGACCGAGATATTGTTAAGACTGAACTGTGTAGAAAATTTCATGACAATCGGACTATTCTTTCAAAAGTTATCGTGTAAACGGACGGACGGACGGACACACTGACCGATTCTAGAGTGTACTCACTTTTTGAGTACACAAAAATCAAACAGTTCACCCAAATCAAGATGAAGGAATTATTATAATAATTGATATCTGTTGATTTTCAACAAGAAAAACTCAAGCAAACTAATAGTACATGAGCATATATCACAATTTTCTACATTATAGTCTCAACTATTCCAATTGTAAACTGACAATAGGTGTGTCACAATCAAAAGAAGATATCTACAGCATGGAAGATACACATCTCTATTTCCGCACATCTTCAAGTAGTTAGCAGCTCGGTCAGTAAAATTATTTTCGCTTGAGTATAATTTTTTGAAAAGTATGACATTTTGAAATCTTCATTTATTAACATAACTGATGAAACACTATGTGTACGATTCATATTGCTACATACTTTTTTTATTGAAAAAAATTTCAAACAAATTAACAAAACTTTGAGTATGTTTTTGTAATTACATTACTTTCACTGATCAATTTGTTCACGTATCGGTAATTATGCAAGGGATTGTCTAACATTTTAACAATTATTCATCTGCATCCGTAGCAATAAGTTCCTATTATTTCGACGAATTTGTTTTTAGTGGGAAATAATTGCTACACATTATACTGTTGATGTGTCACCCATCGGCAACAGTGATATGAATGCAAAGATAACTGCCGTGTAATCATGACAATCATGAGATTTATTAGTATTTTTTTCCCCACAATAGAATCGGATGAATCATGTATGATGAATAATTGTTGTGAAGACGTGTTACTTATTTGGCATGCTTCTTTCTTCGCAAATGATGAAATACTTTCGTAATATTTTACTTTTTCTTTCCAACGATTAAATGACTCAAGTGCACTTTTGCTTTCATAACTTGAAATTAACACATTGCTAAGAATTTCATGTAAAAATAATGAAAAAGAAACAAACAAATAAGTATTATTACTATGTTTACGACGTAGTATCTGTATGCATGTAATATATACCCACGGGATTTGTATTCTTTAATTTGATTATGAAAGTATTTTTAGACGACGAGAAAAATTTGAAAGTGACATAAAGTCAATAATAATTATATTATTGTACATTAATTTAATATCGTAATCAATTTTCATTAAATTATGAATTCAAGGCAACAACAACAATTCTATAATTTTGAATTAACTAATAAAGAAAACGATTTATTACAATGTAAGTGAAATTTATTCGAATTTTAAATAATTTCTTGCTTTATATTTATTTTTTAGCAATCACTAATACAAAGAAGTGAGTATAAAAGAAAGAAAAAAATACTTATATTTTATCTTTAATGTTTTCATATATATTTTCCAATTCGATTTAGAAAAGTAATCACTTGTATCGAAGATTTATCTAATGAAATCTATTATAATATATTTGATTATCTTAATGGATGTCATTTATATGAATCATTTGTAAATCTTAATAGTCGTTTTCAAAATCTTCTCATAAAATCATTTTTACCTCTTAAAATTAATATTGATTCTAAACATGAAATAATCATTGAACATGATTGTAAGAATATTATCAATCAAAATAAATCTCGTATTGTTTCACTTCATTTGTCAACTACAATAGCTGCCAACCAATTTTTTAAATTAGTCACTATCAATTCATTATTCAATTGTTTACAATCACTTGTTATCAATGGTATTAGTGAATATAAACTTCAATTACTTCTTAAACAATTAATTTCTTTACCTCATTTTTATTCATTGAACATTATTATTGTTGGCCAATTAGAATCTTTTGATACCATCTATAAATTAATTTTTTGTTTACCTTTTTTAAAATATAATGCTCTATCCTATGGACCATGGAGAGTGCCTCTAAAATTGCCACTCGCTATCAATAAACAATTGAGTTTTATTGAATACTTAAATATCGATATTGCTATAATTCTCGATGAACTCATTACTATACTTTCATACACACCTAAATTACGTCGTTTAACTTGTCAACAATTATACAATTCGACTCTACATACCCAAATAAGAGCGATAATTGTATTACCTTATCTGACACATATAAATTTTGATCGATGTCATTTACAATTTTCTGAATTTGAAATATTTATCAAGAAGATTGGATCTCAATTAAGAGTATTACATTTCACTACATTTGATAATATTATGTTTCTTGATGCTAATCGTTGGCAAAGATTGATTTTACAATATGTACCACGTTTACAAAAATTCGAATTTGAATATGATGAAAAGATTCCTCATATTTTTCAATTAGGACCACATCATCAACAACTAAATCGATTTACATCATCGTTTTGGCTCAAATATCAGTGGTATTTACAGCTTCAGACTGATGCATTACCTTTTTCTAATAATCGAATAACATATTCAATTCATTCATACAGGTATAGAAATTTTTAAAAAAAATCGTTTTTTGTCTAAATTTTCTTTTTGAAATTTAGAAACAAATGGTATCATGCATATGAACATATGAAAAATGATATATACTATCAACAAGATAAGTCTATTATTATTACTTCAAAGAATATTCAAAATCATTTAATTCCATCTTCTCGAGATGTTGAACTTATTGCAACCAATCGTTGTGATTTCGAACAATATCAATCTTTTATTGAGAATATTAAATCTTTATTTCAATTAGTACAAATTACTTGTTTGAATATTGATTTATGTTATTCATCGATTGACTTATTTATTGATTTCATATGTAATTTACCTAATCTTGATTCATTGAGTATATCTTGTTGGCCTTTATTAGAATTAAATATTTCATTCAATACACAATCTAAACTTCAATTAATATCTAATAATAACAAAATTACGAAAGTGAATCTTGAAAAAGTGGTAGACACCAAACAAGTTCAGTTTATCATTAATCTTTGTCCACGTTTGGAATTTTTACAAGTCAGATGTACAAATAATATGAATATTGAATTGTTCATATGTTTTATTATAATGAATTATACAGCTAAGTCTCTTAGTTATATTCGTTTATTGTGTCTTCATTTTCCAAGAGCAGACGAGAAGACAATTGAAACAATAAAAAATATGATTGACTCAGGAAAGTTGCTCCGTAATTATTCAGTTAATCGTATTGTTGATAAAATTTATTTACAATGGAAATAAAAAAAAAACTCATCTGTGAAATAGTGATGCTTTCTATTATACTCAATAATCAGCTAAATCTTGGGTGTATTCATTTTTGAAATTTTATATATACAGATGCATATAGATAACAATAGAGAATGGGAGTGAAGACGAGAACAAAATTTACACGGAGATCTCTATGTAGTCCTTTGAACATTTTTTGCATATACGTTTTTTCATATATCTTTTGTCTACTTAATAAGTTCGACAAGAATCCGAATGTTGAATCAGTCAGAATGCCATGAAGATCCATCCAGTAGATTTCAGCATTCAATTTGTATTTATTCATAAAACATATGAGAATAGTAATCGTTTTCTTTTCTATGTCTTTTCCCGAACTTTCAATTTAGAAAATATTTTCAGGAAGTACTTGTTTATGTAACTATATTCTTATTTTTTTTACGAAATAAAAATTCATTAACTAGGTGCAACCAACAAATAAATGAAGTAAACAGAAATTGGAACAATGATGTGTGCATTCACTAATAATCGATATTTTATCGTTATTATCACCAAAGAAGGGTATGATATTTTCGAAATTTTGCACTTCCTTACTGTGAAATTTGTTTTATACGCCTTTCCAATCTTCGAATTCTTTGCGTAGCTATCACTAGCAACAGGTACTAACATAAAACTCATTTCAGTTGGAATCAAAACAAACTTTCATCATTCCAATAGTATGATGTCAAAAGTTGTCTCAATTTTTTTAGTGAATGCTGTTGTTTCACGGCATCCGGAATCTGATAATAAGAATATTCGTCGAATTCTTTTTGAGATCTTAATCCTACTTATACTTTATTTTTATCACTATAACTATCTATATCCAATTCATCCAACAATCTAACGAATATATAAAAATAAGAAGAAGAATATAGATGTATATGTTATAATCCGATAGATAAAGAGGAAAAAATCCATATGACTGCATCTGAAGAAAATGCCGGTTATAATATTTTAAAGATTCTATTGAATTCAAATAACTTTTCGATAAGATTCGAATATCAGATTGCTCGTTCTGATCATTTATCAGAAAACAAACTCAAACATTTTTCACATGTATAAAATTTTAATGAGCACAATTGAAAGAAACAGAAAAAAAGTGAACATTCAATGCTAATGGCAATTGAATAAATAACAAAGTTGATATTATTATAGACTAACATGTACAGTGAGGTTTACTTCAGAATAATCGTCAGCAATGTTGGAATGCTTGAGATTCACTTGAGACACTATCAAATCAGAAGATGATTGATTTTCTTCATAAAACTATCATCTTCTGCTAGTTTCATTGCTGATGCGAGCATCATTCTACAATATATTTTACTTTTTGTCAGGATATAAACAGCTTATGCATGTCTTTCATACTTGTCATTAATTTGTAAACGAGAGAGAATAGATTTCTGATAGTGTACTATTTCGAAAATGCTTTAAAAAGCAATTTAAATTAAAAGTCTTGTGAAAAAATGTTTAAAAAATAAAAAAGTTCGTAGGATGTAATGAGAAGCCATCGATCGTTCATATTCTTTGAAGTCTTGAATGCTTCCTGTTCTTCGTTCATAAAGGTACATCTATTTGAAGTTACTATCGAATTCTGATCATATAATGGATAATTAGTTAGTTTATCAAAACTCCGACTTTCATTCTTGCCGAAAGTTCTTTGAATCACAGATTAGTAAGTCTCGGTTTTTTTTTCTAACAAGTCAAGTGAAGCCGTAGGTGTTTTCATGTCATATCAAGTGCAGTCAAAACTCAGCGTAAAGTAATTTTTTCAAATGTTGATTTCTTTCGTGAATATGTCAAAATACTAAAGCTTTCATTCTTTATTAAAGAAAAATGAGTTTATAACAGTTTCATAAGAATGAAAAAAAAATCGTAGATCATTGGAAAATGAGATGGGAAGCACAAGTTGAAAAAGGTCATTGACTTATTACAAGATCTTTCAGTCTTCTTTCATCTTGAATTCAGTTTATAGAAATATTTACTATTTTGTTTATTTTAATTTTACATTTTAAATAAGGAATAAAAAGTACAGTGCTGTTTTTCGACTTGACTTGAAAAAACTTCTTCATTGGATTCTAGTGAAAAATACATCATTTGATGCAGAATTCGACTTTGATAATAAATATCTAATTGCTTTCGAATTTTTCTTTCAACTTGACTCAAACTGTGGTTTTTGGACAAAGAATGAAATTCCACCGTGAACATTATTTTTAGTTTTTTTTTTTTTATTCAATGCAATCATGATTGTTAAGAAATGATGCCAATATTCTGAAATCTTGGCCAGAATTGAACAACTTTGATGTGGAACATTTATTTGTAAAACCTTCGACATATGAGAAGACCTCGGTCATAGCAATGGATTTTTTAGTTTTTCTATCATGTTTATTATTTTTGTTTTTATCTACGTGTATTTCTAAGATTCGCTTCACATATATTTTTCTGCAGTTTCTGACGATAAAGGTGGTCTGTACTTAAATAATATAAAATGTAATCAACGGACAGATGTACACAGCATGTGAAAAACCATGACTATTTTAACCAAGTTCAGTTATTTCTCATTTACATTCTTCTCTTTTCACAAACAGTCAACTATATCATTATTTTTATAATTGAGTAAACATAAAACATCTTTTACAAATAGTAATCTAATTAATCACAAAGTTTCATCTATTGCCATTAAATATCGGCCGTGATTACATTTATCAAGAGAGTCTAATTCAAAGAGAAATGAATAAATTACAAGTTCAGCAATGAAAACTCAATAGAAATATCTGATCTTGAAGGACATACTGAAAAAACAAAAACATAGTTTTTTTTCTATTTGACCACATGAAATAATAGCATTTTATGAGTGAGCTCTTTTATTCTGTGAAAAATATTCTTATTATGAAGTGTTAATGAATCGTATTTTGTTTAATATAACATATTTTATAATAAAAATACTCGTTTTATGAAATAAACACTTAGTAACAACATAATTATTATAAAGACACTTTTGTAAAAATTATATCGTTGAAGGTACCAACAAATATGGCCTTTTTTAGGAACATAAAAGAAGATTTAGGTCTTCTAATGTGTCAATGGTTTTAGTAAAATGTTAAATTCTGAGCTCCTCTTAAAACAAAAATCCATTTATTCATATTCTCTAAAGTTCGATCACACCAAGACAGCATTAGGGTGTCAAAGTATGTTAAAACATTATCTATCCTATATATCAACCTACTTAACGAAATACTTCTTTTAAAGGTGAGATCTATGTATAATGCAGATCAGCAGTAATAAGTAACAGTAGAAATGTATCAAAGAACTATTTGATCATGTTTCATATGCCTTTCGAAATAAATGTCCTTAGGATCAGCATATCAAAAGCACATTTCTCTGATATATGAAGATACGCTTGTCAAGAGTCACAACCAGAAGGTTAAGAAAATTAAAGTATTTCATCTAAATTATATCTATTTCTGTTATCTACAAAGAAATTCTAAGCTTATAATCATTTCCACAGAAAGATACATTAATTTCCATTCATGCATATGAAAGATAACATATTTCAAATGTTTAAGCTTTGATTTCGATTAGGTTTTAAGACTATTTGTAGTACAAAAATCAAAGATTGATATATTTCTATTTTTAACAATTTTTTTTTCACAAATAATCTTTTATTTATAAATTTTACATTTGGTTCAATCAAATTTTAGCATATTTGCAATTCGGCTAAGATCATTTCTCTTTTTCTTTTTATATTACATAAAAGCTTGTTTTGTGGCAATATTTACTCAATAAGATGTAATACTATAAGAGTCAAAAAATAAACAATTTTCTGTTAGAATTTTGCAGAGATGAACTGACTTGATCTAAGAATATTGGTAAAAAAGATCTCTCTATCTATATATAAAATAAAACTCACTACATCGAAAATAATAGAAAAACTTTTAAAAGATAGCTGAAGGAAAAGCCCTTCGAAAAATACCATATTCGAATCTAACAACGAATAATCAAATTAAAAAAAAAATTCAATTTCTTTTTCTCTGATTGAAGTATCTGCTTTTGAATTAATGTGAGTGACAGCTTTTCGTTTGGTCTATATTTATAAGAAGAAAAGAAGAAAATCTGTAGGCGTTCTTATCATTCATTTTCACCTACTTCATTTTTTCTTTTTGCTCGTTTATAAAACTTCACCGACGTTATATTGAACCAGTCGATTACAATAAAGGCATTGAAATGTCGACATCAATTTTACCAACTATTCAAAGTCAACTTAATTTTTACGGATATCCAATATGTTTAGTTTTGGGAAATATTGGTAATATATTCATTGTTATTATCTTTAGTCAACAACGTGTAAATGCATGTTCAACTTATTTAATAAGTTCAGCTATAGCAAATAGCTGTTATTTAACATTTAATAGTTTTATTCAAATATTTCCTTTTTATTACGCTGATGAATCAATACGTGCATTTGCTTTATGTAAAATACGTTTTTATGTATCAAATCTTCTTGGACAAATTGCTAAAACAATGATTACATTAGCTTGTATCGATCGTTTTATGTTTACTAGTAGTCGTGCCACATTTCGTGCATTTAGCCAACCTAAACGAGCTAAATGGCTTGTATTTGTTAGCATTATTTTTTGGTTTATCTTTGCTAGTCATATTGCCATTATGACAACAATTATCAATAAAAGATGTGGAACATTTGGTACTTATTCAACAATTTATACAGTTTATTCAATAATATTTGTTGGTTTGATTCCACCAATCATATTAAGTATATTTGGTTATTCAACTTATTCTCATATGAGACAAATACATCTACGTATTCAACCAATTGGTCCAAATAATCGCCAGGGAAATATTACAATGCGACAGCGAGACAGAGAATTATTAATTATTGTCATTGCTGAAGTATTTGTCTATGTTGTTACAACAACACCATATCCATTAATTCTTTTAGAAATGATGATTAGTCCATATGTATT